TTTTTTTTTAACATTATTGTATAACAGTTAGTTACTTTACCGTTTAGCTCTTTCAGCTGCAGTAAGTTTATTCTGTACTGTGGCGTCGTCTTTTTTCTTTGGCGTGCGAGCACGGAGAACAGGGATATTCTGCAAAAAATATATATCGAAATTTTACCTCATGAAAATAACTTCCAGGTACAACACTGCAATTATTTGGTTTCACAAATTTTAAAACACAAATAACAGTATCTGAAGGAAAATGAAAGATATATGCTGTCATAAGTTTTTTACAATTAAACTACAGGGGTTTTTACTGGTTTTGAAGATGAAGGGGCCAAATTTGGTAACTTTTAAAGATTTTGAAATTTAGATTATAAAATTTTGAGGGGTCCCGCCACCCCCACCCCCTCTTGGCACACTGTAGTCTTTGTCAAACATAATTACCATATAAAGAAATTGATTTAAATTATCTTGTAACCTAAATTAAACATTTATAAGCCAATTATTAAATTTAGTCCATTGACAACCTGTTCTTTCAACAATATTTCAACAAACATAATCGCAGGAAAAAATATAATGAAAAGTGTGCATTATTTTTTAATAATTACCACCAAAAATTAATTGGAGATTACTTTTGACATGATACCATGATGTCAAAATAATAGCGAACCACTTTTTGGTAATATTTACTGAACATAAAATTTAAGTACTCTCACACAGTATTTACTCTACATTATATTCACAAATCTTGTAACCGAAATCCAATCATGTTCTATCTAGATATTTTATTTTAACCTGAACAAGTAAGGCCTGTGTGAATAATGGAGATTACGATTGACATAATTATTAATATATGGAGATTATATTTGACAGGAAAATCAATGTCAATATAACTGCCGAACTAAAAACCAAAAATCTGATTAAATATTTCCCAAACATGCAACTAGATATGATAATCCAATAATGACAAGTATGTGGTTCGTCTTCATTTTAATTCAATGATTCATTAAAGTGATACATTTTTGTTCAAAGTATATTGGTGTTTGGCAATTATTATTGACATATCTGGCTGCATGCTTCGACGCCTGGGTTCGCAACGTATACTGTCAAGGCATAATCTCCGCACGAAAATAAACAAAATATTATCGTTCGTATGTGATGTACACATTACAATTATGCAGCTTAGAATGTCAGATAAACCATCTTCAGATCGCTTTAATTCATCTACGATTAGGAATACGCCGATATCATTTACACACAGAAAGCATACACGGCAATTACTTGTCAAATTATTTTGTGTCAATACATAATCGCCGTTAAAAAAACTGGTGTCAAACGTAATTGACGAACACGGATTTCACTGGAATCCACATGAAACTTGCGAGAAAATGCGAGTATTTTCTATTAATTGAATCCGTGAATGCATCCAATTGCCATCATTAACTTGTAAACTATGTAAGCATTTCATAAATAGCTCCAACATGCATCGTTATTTATCCATGACGGCAATTACTTGACACAATTAGTTGACCTACGCCAAACCTACCTTCATGTTTCCCTCTCCGGTGTGAATGTGCTGGAATCGCTGACGTAGTACACATAACTTGGTCTCAGGGATATTTTAGCACCCTCTAAAAAAGTCCGCATATGTACGTGTGGTACAAACGACCCGACTGAACGCCGATTACGGAATTGACCGACACTTGACGTATCGGTAATAAATGATGAATTTATAACTAATCCATTACAATATGAAAAGCTTTGTTATTTTAAATCGATAAATAGAACCATTGTTACCTAACACAATCTAACAAATTATCATACGAGAACCTATTAATCATTTTGAAAACGGATCTGCGAGACCGTCATTTTGACCGACATCGTAATCGGCGTATGCTGTAATTTCTATTTTCAATATCTTTTATTTGATAGCAAATTCATCAATTGTTTATGTGTAGTTTGAAGTGCTAGTTTATATATTTAAAAAAAACGTCATTCCATACATATGTCACAAGAATTAAATAGTGAAAATCTTATCATGTTTCAAGTCCATCAATTTCCCGAGCAAAATGTCGACGAAAATTCTTGACATCAGACTAGTGAAACATATTTCAAGTCCGACCCCTTGAGAAATGAAACATCATATTGTAATTGCTATCTTAGAAATTAAGAAATAACACATTACTGTCAAATTTCTTTATTTACCCGCATTCTAATACAAAATAAATTTGAAAAAGTGACGGCAATTATTATTTCCTAATAGCTGAGAAGCGCCCATTTGCGTATGACACTAATATGTATTATAACAGCAAAAATATGAACCTGCAAGAAGGCCTGGACCAGATCCAAATATGGTCAGATACTTGGATGTTGAAATTCCACCCAGAAAAGTGCAAAGTAATTTCAGTAGGAAAAAATATTAATACCTTTTTTCTATCGGATATGATTTTGCCGAAAGATTTTCGTCGTGTAAAACCTCTAACATTGTTGGAGTAGATGAAAGTCATGTTGGAAAATGTTAACAAAGAAAAGGATCTCGGAGTAATCACAGATAACAAACTTAAATTTAATGATCATAGACATGAATCTGTAAACAAAGCAAACAGGATTATGGGAACAATTTGACACTTCTGTAATGGAAGGCTTTTTAAATATAAATGAGAACAAAAGAACAAGAGGTCATAGTCTTCTACTTGAAAAAGGAATTATGTCTAAAGTTTATAAAAAGGAATTGTGTCTAAATTAAACTTCAGAAAGTACTCCTTTATAGAAAGAATGGTCAACCATTGGAATTCCCTGCCCAATCACGTTGTCAAATCACCCTCAATAAAAACGTTTGAAGCCCGGCTGGATAAGTACAGGTGACAATCAAAACGCTTTTATTCACTGTCGGGGCATTAGCCTTGAGGCTGACTATACATATGATCTAGATATATCGGATTTTCACCTGCATCCAGTATTATAATATATCATTGTATTAAAGATGGCGGTCGCACATTATTGGGAATATTAACAAAATTACAAGGGTGTAAAAAAATAATTAAAAGCACTTCCCACAGACAAGTAGACCTTAGAAATCTATTTGCCGGATGGTTTTGTCTGGTTTTCTAGTTAAAGGCTCTACTAAATGAGCTGAAAAGATCTCAAAACTTGAGTTTTGAAGATGGATTTATTCTGATAGGTGTTCTATTATCAGAAAATGTTTGATTAAAATATCCACATCTTTCCTTAAAATGAATTTGGCATAATATAATTATCGAGTAATTTTCCATAGGAATTGAATATATATATGGTATGCATTGGATGGACATAATGGTTATCGTTTGTTTATTATATAAGCCAAATAAAATTCTGAAAATTTCAATATTTGATATAAAAAGTCAACGTCTTTTCGACGCATTGTTCATTAACCGGTATGCCATCTTTATGGAATATCCATTCATTTGCATACTTAACGCGCACCCATCAATACACGGTACAGATCGATATTACTTGACTATTAAGCGGGGAAACCTAGCTTGTCTGTATGGCTGTAACATTCCAGTATATTCCAGGGCTCGGCTGCTACGTAATTTATTGTGGCACCAAAATATTCATTAGACAAAGGCGATTGTACGATATGCTAGTGGCAAGTGTCAGTACAGCTAAATAATTTCCATTTACCTCATAGTTCCAGTTTGATGACTCTAAATAGAACTTAGCTCTACCGCTGTCGGCTCCTGTTAGTTGTATAAATTTACTGATCTCTTCTTTCTGCACGTTGTCAGCCATGATGAAGCACTAATGAGTTTTATTACTTTCACGGAGAAGAGTTCCATTTCCGCAATGTCTACTTTCATTTTCATTTTAAGGCTTCTATTGCCTACATACTCTATAAAAAAAAAAAAAAAAAAAATACAATAGTGATGATTACTGATTTCCTTGTAATGATATATTTGTTTGAGTTTAGTGGCAAGATTTACAGCAGACTACGGTAAATATTCCTATTGGAAAAACTAGTACTGTGCCTCTCTTCGGGCCGACATATTTTTGTTTTCATTTGAGAAAAACCTCACCAAGCCCTTCACTTTCACTTACAGATAACAAGAATACCTTCCTTTTACTCTTATACTTCCAGGGGTGTAGCTGGGATATAAATATTTTGTAGGCACTTGAACAAATATTGACTGATAAATGGTGGGGTTTTTTTAGTTTAACGACAACTGTTTTAAAGTTTAAATACAATCAGTTGATAAGTATACTGGTGCATTTTATAATGAAATATGCAAATTGGTGGTATAATGATGTAAATACACTGTATGAGGATTTTAGCAGGAATTTCCAACTAGTTATCACTGACAGTTTCGTATGAAATCATTTAAAGGTAATATAAACACGAATTGTTATCTAAAACAGAGACGTATAATACATGTATTTATACGTCTCTGTCTAAAAGTATAAAAACTAGATTCAGCTTTTTATTGGTGGGAGGATGGTTCCTAAAAAAGAGAATATCGGAGAGTCAACAAAATCACAGAGTGAACTCAATTGATAAAATTAGGGGGAAATATTAACGAATGCATGAAAACCCTTGCAAAATACAAGGAGAATAAGAGCAGGTGATCCGGAAGGGTAAACATCTTCTGTGTCATCGATTACGTCAGGAATTTAAATATAGATCAACTCCATGTAATGTGGCGTTCTCATCATGAGAAGTTCGGTAGTGACAACAAAACCACTCTAATGAGCATAATCAAAAACATCGGCCTTCATATCACAAAGAAATAGCATATTTCCCTAATATATGTAAATTATGATGGCGACCAAAAAACTTGCCAATAGACTTCATTAACCCGTATCTTTGGAAACTCTGTACTGTAAGTTTGTCTGACAGCAGTCGAAACCTGTGATATCATGATAAAGTCATGAGGTTATGCTATTTGGATCAAGCTCTTGAATACCTACCGAATCAACTGTAACATATGGCGACCAAGAATGTTAACACCAAGAAAGGGAAAATTCATGATAGGAAAATCAATATCGTCCTGCTGATCGTATAGCGTACTTGTGAGTAAAGATCAAGGAAAGCGGCTGAGGTTGAAAAGCCCGTAGTTTCCTTAATTTCAAGCTTGGGAGGGTGCATACATGTAAGATCGATGTGGTCAAAAATGTCTTGTAATTTAACAAGACAACACATCTTCGATATATTTTGGTATAAAATGGAAGGAATAGGCGAGGCTGTTTTGTCCTGATCGCACAACAATAAATTTAGCCTCGTATGAAAACAAAAACAAAATGTTGGCCAGGGGAGGAGAACAGTTTCTTCCCGTAGGAATACCTAGATACAGTCTGCTCACTGATGGAAGGATTTGCCACCGAACTCATCACAAATATTGTCAAATAGGAATACAATCATTCTCACAATATCATCTTCTGTATGTTTATTTTAGCCTTTGTTGTGTTATTCACAAAATATGCTCCAAAATAATTTACAATCATACATTTATATCGCAGTTCCCCATTTTTTCTGAAAAGAAGCTCTCATAATAAGAGAACGAAGGTGCTCCATCTGTTTGGTATGAGGAATGGTATTTTAAGGGGGTCGGAAAGTGAAAAGTTTGATAGAGGACACATTTTTGAGAAGAGAATGTTCAAGATAGATCAAAAGATCTTTTGAATTCTTCAAAATCAACATTCCATTTATTTCACTTACCAAGAATGGTATAATAAAATTGCATAACGGCTTGGTTGAGCAACAAGATGAACCCACGATAAAACGATATGTATTCTTGTAAAATTTCGGAATCAAATACAAACGAGGCAAGTCTGTATCTATATCAGTAATGGGTATTAGGAAAGATTGTAATACAGAAGCGTGATTGGCTAGTTTTTTCGTTTTTCGAAAACTGGAAAGTGTACAGGCAGGGTTACGCATTCTTCTATTTTTGCAGGCAGTCAATGTAAAGGTGTCTGCAGTTTCACTACTAGAGGGATCCGTTGACTGGATCTCTGAACTTTTGATATTTCGAATTTTCTGGACTAAAAACTAAAAACTTGTCTATCGTTGTAGCATTGCCATTTTTTTTTAAAGCTTGAAAGTTGTATGGCACTTAATTACAAGGTCTTTTTTGACTGAAATCACCCCCAACTAAAACCTGACTTTTCGCAATTTATACTAGCCCTATACAAAACATCCTTGATAAAGTATAATCTTTAGTTTTAATGAACACACATATTGAATTTTTCAATCAAACACTTGACAAAATTATGTGTAGGCACTGACCTCAGTCGCTCTCGATCCTTACCAACAACATAACGAACAAGGATAGCTCTATCTTAACATACAAGATATGACATATAAGCCTGACGATTTTGATTATTTGCAGAAAAAAAAATTCAAGCTCTCGAAATATTCGGTATTCCAGAGTTTGCTCTGACTATCACCACTGATGAGATAGATGTCGACTGGTGACGCACCAACTCACAACACTGTACGTAGAGATGAAGACGACTGTGGACAAGGTGTTTGGTCGCCATCCTGATCTCAGTATGAAATATTGTATTTCCCTTCATAATATGAAGATTATGGTCATACGCATTGGTGTGTCTGATTGTTTCGTTGTCAGTACCCCTGTTTCTCGCTTTAAGAACGTGAGTGTACATTGATTTGACCTAGATTTACATTGATTTGACCTAGATTTACATGATAGACATCCTTTATTAAGCAGAAGACGCTTACACTTCAGGAACACCTGGTCTTATTATCCTTGTGGTTTTTGAAAGGGGCTCCATGTAAACATTGTCTTTGGGCATATTTTGCACTGGTTTTAACTACTCTGAGTTTGAGTTGCAGCTAGGTCGAATTGGTATTCTCAAGTGTTGTTATTCTCACAAGGATACCGGCAATTTGTATACTTTTGTTTGGTTTTTATATTGTTTAGCGTCCTATTAACAGCTAAGGTAATTTAAGGACGTGTCTCCATGTGTGTTGTGCAAGCGTGCATGTGTTTATGTGTGCCGGAGAATGCTATGTTGGTGTACTTACCTCCTTGTGATAGCGCGGATCTGATGCCGACTTCTGAATACAAGCTGACATAAGGATAAAACTAGCTCTAAAATGACCGTAATTAGGAAACTACGCTGGTGTCTAAGCTTTGTATAGAAACTAATCATCATACAAACTCCAAATCTTAAATTTATAGAAGCAGCTGCCTGTATTGGACATACATGATTTTATTGCATTTAATGAAGTTAGTAGCTGTACTGAATCATCGTATACATTCCAGCTATGGAGTGTAGAGGATATGAAATAAGAGCTAGTGAACCACTGAAAGGACGAAATCTGTGATTCATCGAACAACCACAGTGTTACGAATGCGGCTGACACATCAGATAAGCGGATGACAGTATCGCTACTGAATTTTACTTTTACACTAATTGTCCCGATTCTAGAGAAATCAATAAATTCTACTATTAATTGATTAGATTAGCCTATAAGTGTCTTTGTATGTATAAATATCATTCATGTTACATTTGTGTCATACCATAGATAAATTTGAATTCATAATTTATTCAGGTAATCCAGAGTTCATAATCAGTCAACAAGCGCACAGATGGTTTTCAATAAACGTTTCTCTTAAGTATTGTCCATTGATAACTTGACGTCCGTCTGTACATTTTTTTGTTGACAATTAATTTGCTACTTTTAAGCCTTTTATAATTTTTCAGATTTTCTGGATATATACATCTTGTCCTAAATGTTGACCTATACATTACATTTCCAGGGTTTTCTTCTAGAGGGATATCAATCAATCTGGCCCTTTTAGGAGGTTCTTTACAAAGTACTTCTACCGTTCCTGTCTGATAATAGTCTAAATTTGATTATGTGTATTTACACTTTTATTGGAAAACAATTGTTTGAGTGTGATTTTAAGAAGACACACATTAATCATATCAAAGAAGATATGCTAATAGAGGTATTGTTTTCAGTTCTAGTGATATAAGTTAAGGAGGCAGGAAGGCTGAAAGTCCGGTTGATGTGTGGCTGTTATGGCATAAACGATTGTGAGTGTTTTCACGTTACTTGCATGTTTATAACAAACGTAATATTGTTAAGCTTTACTGTATACGTTTAAAAAAGGCGTGATTCTTCTTCCCATGTTTACATAGTGTGTGCATGCTGGCTCAGTCAATAGTTTGAGTATATAAAACCTGATTATATAATTAACTACGATATAATTACCGTATGAACATCCTGTGTATCGACAGGGGAGTCCTCACAGATATATATATTACGATCATTGTATATTAGCAAACTTCATTTCTGTGCTGCGGTGGCAATTTTCTACATTATTTTGATAACAAAACATAGTTCTCTTACATACGTACCAATAGAATGTATATGAGATCATCTTTATATAATATTCCTTTATAATCGATTTATCATACAAGTTAATTTCATGTGATTCTTGCATGAAATACTTTTTTCATATTATTACTTTTCCTTAACTATCCATTCAATTGTTGTTGCTGTTGTTAATTGTTATTGTTTAATTGTTTTTAATTGTTACTGTTGTTGTTGTTGGTTGTGGTGATGGTTGTATTTGTTGTTGCTGTTGTTAATTGTTATTGTTTTATTGTTATTGTTTAATTGTTATTGTTTTTAATTGTTACTGTTGTTGTTGGTTGTTGTTAATGTTTGCTGTTGTTGTTGCTGTGGCAATTGTTGTGTTGTTGTAGCCGTGGTGGTGATGGTTGTATTTGTTGTTGCTGATATTGCTTGTTATGTTGTTATTGTTGTCGGTGGTGGTGATGGTTGTATTTG